GAGAAGAAGAAGAAGTGAAAAGAGGTAAATGATCTTAGCTAGATAATTATTGAAAAGCAGGAAGTATTGAACAACTACTTCGTTCTAGTATGGAACTCCTTGGCAGTATTTGTCCACTACCTTGTATCTGAGAAATGAACCCAATATCTTTGATCTCACGTGTAAACGCTTAATTTCTAAACCATTGATCTAGCATGTAATGGTTTACATTACTAATTACAAGCAATTCACCATATTGTGAAACCAACTTTCATTGACTAAGGTGAATAACTGTCTTGGATATAATATAGATTTATTGAAGCTCCAAGTCATTAACGATACACTTGACAATACTTGAAAAATCTTAGAACATGATAAACATACTTAGTTGTTGGTGTATATTGTTGAGTCTTCTCATACAAGGATGAAATGGTCGTCCAGTGTTTCCAAGTTTTCAGTGGTTATCTAAGTTACAGGGTCTTGTGATCCTAATATATTTGAAAAATCTCCACAACCTTATACTGATAATAAATTCCTTTTTTAATTCTAGAAATAGACTCTATTATTTCATAATGAATATATAGGATTGTTTTACTTCAGTTATTCCATGTTATTTAAAACTTATTTATATACATTATTAATACTGCCTGACCTACACCTTGTTTTTCTGTATATCTCTTATAATGTTCCATAAGTATTAAATTAGAGGACTGAAAACATTGAACAGACGGTTTATCTTAGTTCGAGTCACTTCAATAGATTGTAATCACACCACTGCAGTTGATCATTTTCATATTGGCATATGTCCGTCCTATATGGATTGACTCGATATAATCTTAAGTCAAAAGCACTATAAATAGAGATGGATGGTGGCTGGCAATGGAATCCAGAACACGCGTTTCGTCCTATTTTGGACTCGTCAGATGAAGGTACCAGCACCCCAGAGATGATGTTCACCCCATCGAACATGCTAGCTGCCATCTGGACTCCATACCTATGTAGATAACGTGATGGCGTTTAAAGCAAACGGTACTTGGTTTGAGTCCTGGCATGAACAACAATTGTGGAATAGAGATTTCAACTACATCAAAACGTGTGTCCTAGTTTCCACTACTAGCTACCATCCATCTCAGTTAATAATAATTTGGTTATAATTAGAGAAGGGTTTTTGTGGATATTATAGTAATTTTATATTTTAACTCATCAGTCAACTGAAGCTAGACCACCATGGAAAACCTGAATACACTGGACGGCCGTTTCGTCCTAGTATTGGACACATCCATTCGCTTCACGGAACTCAATCTCAGGACCTATCGGTCACGCACGCGAACATCTAACCTCTAGACTACTGAAGTGGCACTCAACGGTGTTATGATCTAACCTCAACCAACCCACATGGATGAGCACTGCTGAGGAGTCTTTTACTAGGACGAAACGGTCATCTGTCTAGTGCTTCCAGGTTTTCCATAGTGATCTAGCTTCAATTGACTCATAAATTCAACTACTAAATAATTTAGTTGTTTACATAAAACATTTTTGGGTAATACCTTTTATTTCCTAATTTAAGTAGTATTTTCACAGTAATTGGTTATCTAATGTTTACAAAGTTATTGAAAAGAAATTATATATAAAAATATTAGTGACTGTATTTGATTATCTCTAATATGTCCCCTGGCAATTTGGTCTAAGTGTTTTTTTTTCAAAGATTTCATTTTACTACTTACAAAAACGCCTTAAATAGGTTATCAACTACTGAAATACTTATAAATATTATTCTAATTTAAGGATAATTTCCTTTTGTTGTTAAGGCGTTTTTAGTAAATTTTTTTTTTGAATGATACTGAACATTTATTAATGTATCCCTTCGGCATTCTTTCATAAGAATAATAGTTGATTTAGTTTTATCAATAAATAAAATATGTGAGCAAAATGACGAGAACTCAATTGGCATCATCCTCTTGAAACATCGACTTCTATGGTTTGGATATATTTGATGAATATCGTCCAAGTGAATTACACATCATATATTATTTTTGGATGCTGGGACTATTTGGAAAAGGTGATGAGATGGTCAGTGCATAATACATTGTCATGGTATGAAAGAAAACCGTGTGCAGGATAAGAATCTATCGATCCTTTACGACTCACTGATTAGAGTCATAGAAATGATTCAACAAAGTGAATTGAAACATTAACACACATGGCTGAGAATGGAAACTATGCATGATCCTCCTGTAAATATCTTTTACTTTCTTAATAAAATTGATAGTAACAATTTACAATCACCTTATATTCTTTGTTTCCTTACAATCTCATTTCTATTGTGTGTGTGTGTGTCGTACATGGATTTTGGTGCCCCCCTCCCACTCTTGTACCAATATTTATGTGTTTACATCAATAGAATACAGAAATATACTACTTATTTATAAAGTAATATCAATTAAACTGATAGAATTCATGTTCGTTTCTTTAGTGTTAGCTCCAATTCTATTGATTACATATACAATAACAACAAGAGAGGAAATAGAACAGTGATATCAGGAACGTCACTGTTTTTTTATTACCCAGCATTCATTTAACTAATGATGCATAAACAAAATATGAATATAAGTAAGAATCATTAATAATGAATTGGATCTAATTTATTCATTAAAGCTTAGAAGATACGAGATACTTTACCATAGTAGGTGTTACACAATTTATCATGTATCTAATTAATTATCTAAAGAATTGAAAGAAAAAAAAAGGAACTAGGTATACAGTTTAGTAACTGTGTTATAGATAATATTTCTCACATGATGTTTTGTATAACTATTCAATAATGATATTATTCTATTTGATGGAGTTTTGTTCTTTGAGCTGGATGGTTTGGTTGTGGAGCTTTCATTGTTCTTCTGAATGACATCATCAGCACAAACTTCACATAGAAGTGAAGTGTTCGAATTTCTCTATATGTGTTTCACAGCTTGTCCTTTACTAAATCATTCAGCTCAAAGAACAAAACTCCCACAAAATCATCTATCTGAGCTACAAATCTTCTCCACCATCTCATGAGACTACTTTATCCTGATCAGTTTAATGAATAGTTACTGTGGAGATCTATTTATAGACTACTATGCTATATGTATATATAATTGAATCATAGGTAAGTAATTAGACGATACATATTCATATTCCTTTTATATATATTGTTCGTTTAAGGAATTGATGATAAGTGTTAAATTTTATAGTTTTAATTTATGAATTGATCTTAGCAAAACTATTTGAAATCTGTTTTGTTATTGTGTAGTGAATGAGAACACAAATGAGAACAATCGAATGTATGTCAACAGAGAATTACAGAACATCTTGGTAAAATCTGAGACATCTGCGAAATGTCAATGAATTAACTCAGATTTCATTGTTCCTTCATTGCCACCGCGATCATTCACTGTTCTCATCCATTTTTTCTTCGATCTTCTTAACCTTCTACTATTAAGTATTTCACTTTCAATTGATGATACATACTACTTATATCTACTGACATCAGTAGCACACAACACAATAGGAAAGTACTCCTCAGTAGTGTACATACACTGGCCCAACATAGCAAATCGAACATAGAATTATTGATGTATGCATGCGAACTTTTAAACTTTATACTACTGAATCAGTACCCATTAGTGTACATATCTAGTTTCAATCAGTTCATGATTTGTTTTCACTTCTTCGCTTAATACACAATCATAAATTAAATAATTGCTAAATAAAGAGTTTTAATGTGCTACAACCTTCTAATTGTATATTACATAACTTCTATGATTGTTACTTACTTATTTCAATGTATAGCTAATCTACCTGTGATATCCCGATGAGAATATTGAATGGTAACTGCTGAGATCTATTTATGAATTACCACTATACGTATATTTTTGTCGTATAATTGTTAAGTAACTAAGCTATTCATGTCCGTCTTCCGCTTATCAAAAGCTTTATTTTAACCCATAGACTATTATTATACGATTTAGCGTTGTTGAGTTCTGGTCAGTCTAGTAATTACAGTCTACCACAACTACAGCCAATATTAGTAAGAACTTGTACAAATGTGTTTTTTTCCTATTTTATTGTACGATGTGGTCTGTTTGGCTTGTATATAGACCCAGTATGTTCGAAATGCAAGATTCATAATGTGGATGCTGAGATTGGTGTTGTGGACTTAGCAGACAGGGCTAGTCCGGAAGAAGAAGAAGAGATAAGTAATGCAGACTGTTCGTACTGGTTTTATGCGTCATTGGTTGGGTCGATAAGTCACAGTTCTCCAATTGATGGTATCATTATGCTATATATTGATAGGGGCAATAGGCCATAATTTATAACAAGGAAGAAAGGCAAATGACCGAAATGATTAATGATTATTCCTATGGTGTTCTTACAAATAGTTTAACACAATAGTTCCGGTGCTATCTCAGAGCCGTTTTTAACTTAGCCGCTAAAATGTCCTCAGTGAGTGTTTATAAAGCAAGAAGTATTTGAGTGAATAATATTTGTTTGTTTTTCCTGATCATTTCATTATTAAGTGGTCTATACTTATCAATTTATAAACGATAATAGTACCTAATTTCCAATACAATAAATTAAACGATATTATATACCATAATAGTTGAGACGATTGAAACTAGACCACCATGAAAAATCTGGAAGTACTGGACGACTTTTTCGTCTAATGGTGGGACCCCTCAGCATCGCACGTTCATGATATGATATCCAGTAGTATCTATCACTATAGGGTCTAATAATGAAGATATTTACAAAACATTCATTTATAATGCTTCTTCAAACTTACTTATAACATTGTCTTAGTCCGTTTCTACAGTGTTTAAATTATATTTAGGATAGGAGAAATATAAAATGAATTATGAATTCTCTAACAACCACATATATAAATGAGCACATAGCATGAAATGGATTTTAACACGATTAGTGAATAAATATGACTGAGATTATAGCCTTTAAACTCTTTAAAATGCACATGATTCACTTACAATCCACTTTTTACATCTTTCAAACATCCACTTTATTTCAATAGAATCGTTAATTTCATTACTGAACCAACGGAACAATTCACTACATTTTATCTATGTGTAGAAACGATTAAATACATCTTATACATGCTTAGCTTTTTATTAGCAAGTTTGTTTTCTACAAGATTGGGTTACTGACCCCATGTCCAACCCTCTTTCTTTATCCGGTCTTGAAACAGGCGGAAATCACTTAACTGCATCACAAGGCAAGCGCTAACTTGGGATCCTGAAGGCAAACAGAAAACATAAAGAGCAAAGTGTACCCTGGATCGTTAGTTGAAAGCAGATATGTAAAGAATGAATAACAACTAAAAACAACTGGAAAAGATCGCTCAGGACAGTGTTCCATGGAGAATGCTAGTGGATGGCCTATGCTCTTTCATGAGAATTAACAAGAGTAAATAAGTAAACACGTATATAATCTCTTCATGACACACACACACACATACCCACCAAAAACTATGGTACATGTCCAATAATTAGTACGTACTGTTTACCTATTTGTTTTCCAGTATGATTTAATCAAATTAATCCATTGTCAACAGTCAATTATGAAGTATAACAAAGACATACATAATACACAATACTCTTAGTATACAGAGGCTTCATAGAAATAATTTCGTTTGTCTTGAAAACAATAAGAATATCATTTATATACTTTACAATTAAAATTATGTTGATTATAATTAATGATAACTTTGTTACCTAGAAAATACTACAATGAATAATTCAAAGATGGTATGTGTTACAATGTCAGTAACTATGTGAAAGTAAACAATAGGGAAACAATAAAGTTTTGTGTTTTTCTAGTTACCTATTATTATGAATGATAATTAACCATCAATCGGAATTTTACATCATGTCTACTTGTATGTCAATCTTAGTTGTATACAATGTTTATTAAATAGGAAATAAATTAATGAAATGTATATGTTCTACCTCGGGGTGGCTTGTTTAAATATCTGAGCTACCTGTTCTTGTTATTTAGATATTTTAACAAGTTGTCTGTTTCCATATTTATTTTAACAGATCATGATTGTCAGTTAATTGTATAATGATTAAGATCTTGAACTAATTGATGTTAGACCATCCTTGAAAACCTGGAAGCACTGGACAGCCATTTCGTTCCATTGTGGGACTCCTCGGCAATTTATTGTATAACCTATTCAGGTGCGTTTATGAAATGTTTACAACCTTTCGCTATACAAGTTAAGAAACAACACAATCATAGACATCCTTGTGGCTGACAATATGCACTGAAAAGAATGAACACGATTCAAATGTTGATTCCTGAACTACTAACATCTAACTGGAGACCATCCAATATTTATTGTAAGGGTTGATCAAGAAATAAGGAACGGAAACTCGCTGAAATATTTTGTGCTAGGAATTTTATATAGCATTGAATAAAGCTAACGATAATATAATAGTTTTTTGAAAATAAAATGAATTATATATAGTAGTGGAACTCAAGTAATGTGTTTCTTCCCAGTTGAAACTCATCAGCTAAAGGTGGACAAGTATCTTAGTGTTAAAATACGAATAAAGATTTAGATGCAGTACTTTTTGCTTTGATGACTTAATCCTTTATCTATTACTGTACTGTTGAGTCTGGACAGTCTGTAGATTGTTTCACAGTTATAATAATAATATCATTATTATTAGTAAGGCTTTAAATTACCCCAAACCTAAATAATGAGGATCAAGATTTTGATTATTCTTTGTTGGGTTTACCTTAATAAAGACATTTCGTCATAGATGGATGGCAGCTTTCAATGGAATTGACGCTGAATTCGTTGATGCTATTTACACTTAATGAATTACATATATACATATATATAACAGCGTTATAAGGAAGGACACCTAATTTTCTACTTGATCGTTCATAGTAAACCTTATCCACTACATTCAATTCACTTAAATATTTGGAGAAGATTACAAATAAATAACCACATATACTGAGTATATTAGTTACATTTGAATTGTGTAACAGTTTGATTTCAGGAGATTCCTAAACTGTTTTCATAAATTAAATTAATTGAGTTTAGATATTAACACCGTTGAGTATATGCTAATTGGTCTAACAATTAATCATTCATATATGAGACCGAAGGCCCTGTGTTTAATTTTCTTTATAGTAGGGTTTGTGGGCAAGAATTACTGAAGAGGCCCATACTGAAATGAAACATCTATCCATTACTTTTAAGCCTTCATTACCAATTTAACTAACGTTAGTTCATGATTACATTAAACTACTATTACTGTCACAATTGATTGATCACTGGGGGGTGATCAATGTCATGCTTGTCTAGTCCTTATTAGTGCAGATCGAATGCTATCGATCATGTTGTAATGTGGCCATCAGTCTAGGTGACTCGACACTGCGGGCACTATGTATTGAGATTTAGATTGTGGTTGGAGGTAGTCAACAGGAAACCCTGGACCCGGGTTTCGTGCTACTTGGCACTCGTCAGCAAGGTGTACCTGTAATCTATTATACTATCTATTATACTATTACTATTCAATTTCATCTATTCAACTATAACAATATCATATTTTGTCCAATTATATCAAATAGATCATTCTAGTTTCAGATGTTTGAATTTTCTCCGTGGGAAGGGAAGGAGAGGGATAAAAACCGGTAAATTTAGTTTTAAGTTTAATCATTATTGCTGTATATTAATGAAACATTTCACAGTAAATTATACATAACAACTATTATGTGCTATATATATCTATATCTATATCTATATATCTATATATCTATATCTATATATCTATATATCTATATCTATATATCTATATCTATATATATATATATATATATATATATATATATATATATATATATATATATATATATATATGAAACTTTTCATGTTCACCTGCTGTTGGGAAGCAAGGTACATTGGCCGTAACCAGCGCTCGCTTTTAACTCGGATACGAGAACATGTTTCACTGTGGTTCTACAATGGTGATAGGAAAGCAGTTAGAAGTTTCATACTTCAACAACTAGTAGACTGTAATCATTCTACTGATCCACAGTTTGATTTTAAGGTTGTATATACGATTCATTCAAATTTACCTAGATTTCTTTGTATCCAACCCTTAAAAAGTGGTCGAATCTCTTGCTATCCATGAGCTCAAGTTTGTCCTATCGTTACCGCTACATTGGCCTTAATTATTATTATTATTATTGTTATTATTATTATTACTGTATTTCCCCCCTTACTTATTTCTCATATTCTCAATATTTTATTCATAATTGCTCATGATATCACTTTGCTTGTCATTTACACCTCTATGACCTTTAATGACCATTAAATAATGCAACTAAACATTTTAATCACCTTCCTACACTCACATTATAATTCGTTACTAACTTATTACGTCTATTATTATTATTACTATTCGTATTACGTAATCTGAAACGATAATCTTTCTACAAGAACTTTTGTCTACGTTTGATTAGATAGTTTCACTGTATTTGTGCGCTGAGTTGATGTGAGATATAAATGAGGAAGAATATTATATTTTAATGGTTAAGATCATGAGTCAGTTGAAGCTAGACCACCATGGAAAACCTGGAAGCACTGGACGGCCGTTTCGTCCTATTGTGGGACTTCTCAGCAGTGTGCATCCATGACTTTGCCCCCTGCGAGATTCGTACCCAGGACCCACTGGTTTCGCGCTCGAGCACTTAACGACTAGACCACTGAGCCTGCATCCAGGCTTCCAGGTTTTCCATGGTGGTCTAGCTTCAACTGACTCATGATCTTAACCATTGAAATTACCACAAAGTCCACAAAAAAACCCATCGGATATTAATATTATATTCGTAAAGTCTCAACGAATGAATTTGAGGTGAATCCAACTTTTCACCGGTCAATCTAGTTAAAACTGTTTCAAAGGGATTTAATCAAGTATCAAAATTGTCGAATATAATTAGGTACATGTTTGTTTGGTTCATTGTTTACTAAATAGGTTATCCGATCAACGTTAACATCATGAGTTGATCAATGTTAAACCATCCGTTTATGATCTCAATTCAAAATGAACAACTATCACAATCCTCTACTAATAATCATCATGTGTTCACTATTGACTGAGAGATGTAATTCTCGGAGTTCTAGTAACAAGCTCTGAGTAGTATAGTTTAACCGCGCTGAGTGTGAGGAAGTTACTTACCAGAGACAATGGATCGTTTAATGCTGTCTTAGTGGTCTAGAAATTCGAATGAGACCGAAGGCCCTCGGTTCGAGTCCTGCATGCGGGGTTGTGGGGCGGTGTTGTTGAGCCGTCCTATAGTAAGTCAAAAAGGTCATTCAGTACTTTCGTGCTTTTAATGATCGTCTAATATTGATTGTTTCGTGATCTTAATAAAATCTCGACACTCTTTACAACCCAATACATACAACCTAAGTTTTATTGAAAATATCTATAAAATAGCGCTTTGGTTTCAGTTAGTTGTAATAGTTATGTAAACATTCTCCAAGCTGATTAAATAAAACAATTTAAACATGCATAGTGATAATTATAGTAATAATAATAATACTAATAGTTCTTTTCTGTATTAAATCTCTAGTACACTACAGAATTCTTAGAATAATGTAAAAAGTATAAGTAAAACACGTTTTGATTAAATCTAACACATTATTTTCTAATATCGGAAGGGTTTTTGTGGATATTATAGTAATTTCAATAGTTGAGGCTATGAGTCAATTGAGGCTAGACCATCATGGAAAACCTGGAAGCATTAGGTAGCCGTTTCGTCCTATTGTGGGACTCCTCAGTAGTGCGCATCCACGAGTTTCGAACCTAGAACCTATCGGTTTTGCGCGCGAACGCTTAATCTCCAGACCACTGAGCTGTCCGGCATCCAATGGTGTTAATGTCTAACTTTAATTAATCTACGAAACTGAGCAACATATCCACTATAATCTTTAGTGAGTTACTATCTTTCAACAGACTCGGTTGAACATAACTTTTCACTGCTTCCTACAATCAAATGTTCTGATAGAATGTAGATTTTAAAATATGACCAGTTATATTTGATTTATAGCCTGGATCAAAATTTTATCAGTTTAAGTTATCCTAGATTATCAGTTGAACATGATCGATATCAAAGAAGTTTGAATAATTGTAGAGTGTACTACTGATATCGACAGATATTAGTAGTA